CATGCCTGTAATCCCAGCTACTTGGGAGGCTGAGGTGGGAGACTCCATTGAACCCAGGAGGCGGGGGTTGCAGTGAGCTGAGATGGAGCTACTGAACTCCAGTCTCGGCAATAAGAGTGAAACTCCATCTAAAAGAAAAAAAAGGAAAGAAAGAAGATGAGATGGGCTTTGATGAGACCAGGAAAAGGCATGCTCTCTGCCCTGCCCTGCCCACCACCAACTCTGCTCAGGCTTGGCCCACGAGGGGGCCCGCTGGCTGCTGGCACAGACTGTTACAGGGGATCTTCTAACACCGTGCAGCTACCAAAATGGGTTATATGCTCATTTTTATCTCCTCAGATTCCTATGTTGAAATCCTAACACCCGATGCTTCAGAATGTGACCTTATTTAGATTGTGATAGGGTCTATAGAGAGGCAGTCAAGCTTAAAACGAGGTCATTAGAGTGGGCTCTATTCCAAAACGCCTGGTGTCATAAAGGGGAAACTGGGGTTCAGAAACATACATAGAGGAAGAGGACGGGAAGACAGAGACAGAGCAGCCATCTAGAGGGCAGAGGGAGAGGCCTGGACAGATGTCCTCAGGAGGAGCCTGCCTGTCCACACATCCATCCCAGACTTCTTCTTTTTAAAAAATACAGGCAGGGTCTTGCTCTGTTTTCCTGGCTGGTCTCAAACTCCTGGCCTCAAGTGATCCTCCCGCCTTGGCCTCCCAAAGTGCTGGGATTATAGGTGTGAGCCTCTGCGCCCAGCAGATCCCAGGCTTCTACCCCTAGAAGATGAGAAAATACATTTCCAGTGTGTAAGCCACCTGGTCTGTGGTACTTTGTTATGGCGACCCTAGCAAACAAACATACCATGCTTTCTTCATGTATTTGACAACCATTTAATCAGTTTCTCTGGTATGTTGGCCCTGAAGACAGAGTGAATAATAATATACATTTCCCATCTTTAAGAAGCTTGTAGTTGGCCAGGCGTGCTGGCTCAGGCCCATAATCCCAGCACTTTGGGAGGTCAAGGCAGGTGGATTACCTGAGGTTGGGAGTTCAAGACCAGCCCGGCCAACACAGTGAAACCCTGTCTCTACTAAAAATACAAAATTATCTGGGCATGGTGGTGCCTGCCTGTAATCCCAGGTACTTGGGAGGCTGAGGCAGGAGAATTGCTTGAACCCGGAAGGCAGAGGTTGTGGTGAGCTGAGATCGTGCCATTGCACTCCAGCCTGGGTGACAAAAGTGAAACTCCATCTCAAAAAAGGAAAAAGAAGCTTGTAGACTCTACAGGGGAACAATTACGTTTAAAAAATCATTTGGGTTCAATGTGGCTGGTGTTCCATCTCCTTATAAGTTGGGAAATACATTTTTAGCTTTTACTTTAATTTTGCGACAAAACGCTGACTTTTGCTAAGAAGGAGTCACTCTTTGCAGGGTTAGGGGGATGTTAGGCCACTCTCAAACCTCCTGTCCAAGTCACCTAACTCCTAATCCAATTCAACTGCCCCCTAATTTTTCCTGTGCACAGAATCAGAGAGTTTTGGGGAAGGTAAATCAGATCTTATCACCGCTCAACCCATCCCCTCTCTGGCTTAAAGCACTTCAGTGACTTCCCATTTTCCAAGGATAAGTTAGATTCCATAACACACATGCCCTGGCACAGTCTCCAGCCTCTGCCCTGCTGGCTTTTTCCCATCCCAGAAACTTTGGCTTCTCTTGTGCCTGCATCTCTCTTCCCCTCTCTGTTGACCTGGTTCATCTACAACCCTCTAGATCTTAGTTTATTCATCATTTCTTCTGGGGAGCTTTCCTTGAGCACCCAGCATAAAACAAGTCTCCCTTATAATAACTCTAGCACTCCGTGCAGCAAGTACGTCTTCTTATCGCAGTTGAAATGTTTCCATTATTTGTGCATTGGTTTGATAACTCTAAGCGCATGACGGCATGCTCATATTCCTCCACTAAAATATCCTTAGTGCTCCAATACATGGTGAGAACTCAAACAATACTGGTTAAGTGAATCAGTGAGTAAATGAGTGAATGGGTAATCCTAATCCTTAGAATTTCTGACTGGGGAAGCAGTTACAGTTGAAAAACAGGGCGAGGTGTAGTGGCTCACACCTGTAGTCCCAGACTTCGGGATGCTCAGGCAGGTGGAACTTGAGTGTTCGCAACCAGCTTGGACAACATGGAATAGAGTAAGAAGACTAAGTAGAGTAAAACCCTGTCTCTACTAAAAATACAAAAAGTTAGCCAGGCATGGTGGTGCATACCTGCAGTCCCCGCTACTTGGGGAGGCTGAGGAGGGAGGATCACTTGAGCCTAGGAGGCCGATGCTATAGTGAGCTAAGATCATGCCACTGCATTCCAACCTGGGCCACCGCTGGAAACCTGTCTCCAAAACAAACAAACAAACAAACAAACAGAAAAGAAAAATAGTAAAGTACTAGTGAATACAGAAAACTGTATACACATTTGAGCGCTATTGTGGCAACAAATTTTTTGCAAAGTTGTCATTGAGAAGCTCATTTTATCTGTGAAAATTAAATTTCTTCTGTAACACTTTGAAGACATTTCCCAAATATTTACTTAACATTCTATTCATTAGAAAATCTCTCATTCCACTTTCAAAGAATTTTTTTTTTTTTTTTAGAGACAGAGTCTCACTGTGTCACCCAGGCTGGTGTGCAGTAGTGCAGCCTTGAATTCCTGGGCTCAAGTAATCCTCCCTCCTCAGTCTCCCATTGAAAATTTTTAAGTACTTCTAATCTATTTTTAGAAAAAAACAACTGAACACCAATAGACTCTTGACAAACCACCAGATTTCATTGCTGGACTAAGAAGTTTCTAGACCTTCTGGATTTAATTGAATATTGAATGAGTGTCAAGGAACTGTAGGGCAAAGGGCATCTGCTCCATAGTTGGTCCATGAAATGTTTAGTGGGTTGTACTGGTGTACAGAGGATTATGAGTCCAGAGGCCCAGCCCTGCAGGAGTTCGTATTCTGCCACGGTGCCTGCGAGTGTAAACAAATGGTACAGAGCAGCAAGATAAGTGCTACCAGCGGAATGTGCAAAACGCGATCAACTTCACACAGCCCACGGAAAATATAAGACGCTTACACCATTACCCCGACTCTCCACATTTCCATAAGTGTGATGATTTGAGGAGGAAATATACCGAATAGAACAAGACTTAATTCCCTTGATAGTCCACTAATTTCATAGTTGTCCTTCCTTACCTTTTAGAAAAAGGGAGCTATTATGTTTCCTTATGTTGCTAGCTTTTGTGAAAAAAATCAGCCTCTCTTCTGGTCACGCCCTTGTCCTTGTCTCTGTCTTCTGTTCACCTCTGCCTCCCTGTAATGTATAGTTATTTTTTAACTTTGTGGTTGCTCTTTTGGCACTGGGTTCCCTAAGGGAGATGAATCAATATTTGTTAAATCCCCTGATTTTTGTGTGAATCCTCCTTGATCCCTAGCTTTTACAGAAATAGAAAATAAGCAATTTAAGAGTTTGGACTGAATGGGGAAGTCAGAATCCTGATGCACAGGCTCAACCTTTCACTTAGGTTTGCGGTGAATGTAATGAAGCTCTCTACAAACGATGTGGAAATTAAAATAGAAAATGAAAATGTTACCCATTTAGTGCAAATGTTCTATTGGTCACAAGCATAATTTATCATTAAGTGCTTCTCTTCTAATGTCACTGGGTATAATTGATGTGTTGAGTCAAAATGCTTTTGGCTAATATACTTTTTAATCCATAAGGCCCAATTAGGTTTTGAAAATACTAACAAATATAGCTATTATAAAATATCTGCATTCATGATTTACAGAAAGTAGAGTTTCATTTATTTATTTAAACAGGGTCTCACTCTATCACCCAGGCTGGAGTGCGGTGGTGCGATCTCAGCTCACTGCAGCCTCCACCTGCCAGGCTCAGGTGATCCTTCCATTTCAGCCTCCCAAGTAGCTGAGAAAACAGGCATGTACCACCACACCTGGCTAATTTTTGTATTTTTTGTAGAGATGGGGTCTCACTGTGTTGCCCGGGATAGTCTCGAACTCCTGGGCTCAAGTGATCCTCTTGCCTTAGCCTCTCAGTGTACTGGGATTACAGGCATGAGCCACCACACCCAGCCAAAAGTGGAGTTTCTGGTTATGTAATTAGCAAACAAAAGATGTTCCTTGTAGCAGCAGAGGCAGCTATGCAGGTGACCTGCAGTTGAGAGGACAGCCTCTCTCCTCACTAGGTCTCTGTTTCCTGGACCTCAGCAAGACTCTTTAGTTATGTGATAAGCCAAATGGTCATTCATTCACTCACCCAATCATTCATTCATCCAACTAATATTTATTGAGTGCCTTCAGTGTGCCAGGTAAAGTGCCTGCCTTCATGGAGTATACATTCTAACAAACAAAACAGACCATAAATGTATGAACAAATAGCTGTGTACACTAATGTTGGGTAGAATTAAGTGTTATAAAGACGTTGGAGCAGAAGAAAGGGTTGGAGTCGATGACAGCACTGCTTCAAATCAGGTGAACAAGGAAGGCTTTCTGAGGAAGCCAAATGTAACAGATCCAAGAAGGAATTGAGAGACAGAGCCACGGAATACCCCCGGGAGTTGGCGGGGAAGGTGTCTCAACAGGGGGAGGAGCAAATGGCAAGGCATTAAGACGAGGGTGTGTCCAAGATCCAGCGGCTAGACACATTTTCTTTCCTATTTTAATTGGACTGAAACCACCTTTGCAAAGATTGAAACAGTGAGAAAATTATGACAGTGAAAGAGATCTGTTGATCTAACTAACTCCATCTTGCCTTTAACCTCAGCCTCTGGTCATTCCTGGGTTTCGTTCAAGCTAACTTTGGGAGAAATTTAGTTATAGTTTAAATGATAATACCCCTTCCCCAAAACTAAACCACCCTTGTAAAACTAACCAGGTTAGGAGGATGAGAGGGGTCTGAATTCTGCTAAAATGCAGGCATGAATGACTACCAGCTGCCCTTGCTGCCACCAACATGGAGACTTTGCACCGTGTCCTGTTCTTAGTCCTCAAATGTCTCAGCCTGAAGCTGAAGAAGCTGCCCTGGCTTCACTTGCCGTTGGCCATGACTGTGTATGCTCTGGTGGCAGTGTCTTACTTCCTCATCGCTGGAGGAATCACTCATGATGTTATTGCTGAACCTCCAAGTATTGGCTCTATGACTGACGAACGTGGGCATCAGAGGCCAGTAGCTTTCTTGGCCTACAGGGTAAATAGACAATATATTATGGAAGGACTTATATCCAGCTTCCTGTTTACAATGGAAGGTTTAGGTTTCATAATCCTGGACCAACTGAATGCACCAAATATCCCAGAATTCAATAGATGTCTTCTTCTAGTCATTGGATTCATCCGTGTCCTACTGAGTTTTTTCATGGCTAGAGTGTTCATGAGAATGAAACTGCCGGGCTATCTGATGGGTTAGAGTGCCTTCGAGAAGAAATCAGTGGATACTGGATTTGCACCTGGCAATGAAGTTTTCAAGGCTGTGTCAATCCTCTAATATGAAATGTGGAAAAGAATGAAAAGCAGCAGTAAAAGAAACACCTAGTGAAAAAACAGGAAGCGTATTGAAGCTTGGACTAGAATTTCTTCTTGATATTAAAGAGCAACTTTATTGCAGTTTTTTTTTTCCTGCTGACCTATTGCTATACTAACAATGTGGAGTGGCATTTTCTTCGTAGTTTTTCATTTCTTAAAGAAAATATACTCCATATCTACAACTACAATATCAAATAAAGTGATTATTTTTTTACAACCCCTTAACGTTTATTTGGAAATGACATTTCTGATTTTCAGAAATTAACATAAAACCAAGAAGCAAGATTCCATCAGCTGAGAACTCTGGACAGCAAATCAGCTTCATCTATGGTCCTTTGCCTTTAACTAGAGTATGTCATGGTAGATTATTTCAGATATGCATGTAAGACTGTTTCTTGAACAATAATATGTATGAAAGGAGTAGAAATAAATACTTTTTCTAATTAAAAAAAAAAAAAAAACCAAAAATGACTACTAGCCATTATTCCAGAGGTCACAAGATATGCAACTTCCCTAATCACTCCTGTAAATAACATCACTTTTGGAGACCCTGAGACTGGCGGTTTGAGATGGCTTTACAGGCTTTTGCATTTCTGACTACCAGATGGCCCCAGCCAGACCAGCAACTCCTCTGGGGGTCCCTACCCAGAAGCGGACTTAGCACAAGAGGACCGTTCTCCACACCCCTATGATTGCAGCCCCAGCTAATCAGCACTCTCCCTTCCTTAGCTCCCTGCCCACTAAACTCTACTTGACTCTGAACTGTACTAGCCTCCAAATTTTCAGGGAGATTGAGTAGTATCTCTTCTTCTAGGCAAGACCAGCCTCAAATCAATGAAACTCTTTCTTTACTGCAATGCCATGGTCTCTATAGATTAATTTTGTCTGAGCAGCTGACAGGAAGAACCTGTCAGGTGATTACAAAACCAGGAGCAACACATTCAAAGTTAATCTCCAATGAGATCGACCGTTTTCTAACTTTGGTGTTGCTCAGTGATTCATTAGAGTTACCAGAGATCAATATGAATTTGTTAATCTGGAAAGACCTAAGATATTTATTTCCCACTCTTTTATATCTTCCAGTAGTGACTATGTATACGTGGAGGAGGGTAGAGGATTCAGACAAGTTCAAACAAATAAGAGGGAACAAAAATTACTGAGTGAAAAAATTCACCCTGGCCAGGCGTGGAGGCTCGAATTTGTAATTCTAGCACTTTGGGAGGCCAAGGTGGGAGAATTACTTGAGCCCAGGAGTTCGAGACCAGCCTGGGCTACAAGGTGAAACCCCAACTCTACTAAAAATACAAAATTTAGCCAGGCGTGGTGGTGCACACCTATAGTCCTGCTACTCAGGAGGCTGAGGCAAGAAAATCGCTTGAACCTGGGAGGTGGCAGTCGCAGGGAGCTGAGATTTGCTCCACTACAGTGTAGCCTGGACAACCGGGTGAGACTCCGTCTTAATAAAAAAATAAAAACTCCTTTAAAAAGGACAGATTCCCTCTGCACGTGCCTTTTGCCCCATGTCTCTCTCCCTCTTCCTGCCCTAATCAGGTAGGATGTCTGATTAATCAGTCGGTAAGTTTATCTTGCAACCACCTGGGGACAAGCATGGAACAAAAGCCACATGGAAAACTCAAGAGAAAGCTAGAGGCCACCTGGGTTCCTGATGGCCCTGTGAGCTGCACTCACCTGCTGAGACTATCAACCCACAGACTTCTTGTGTGCAGAAAAGAAACCAAAAGAACTCTCTGACCCAGCTAAGCAATTCATCAGGTGTTCTACTCTCAGCCAATTAATACCAATTGATACATTCTTGGGTGGGGATGTATTCTTTCAAGTTTGAAGAGGGAGTTGATTGTTAATGGAATGTGGTCAATGTCCTCTGGGCCCAGTCTCTCCTCCTCCAGTCTCTTGGTTCTGCTTTCTTGTATTTTACTCAGTTTTCAACTCGGCTCCCTCCATGTGATGTTTCTCGGCAGCACTACACTGATATCCTAATCAATTCTAACTAAAACTCCAGAATTGAGTCTTATTGAGAGAACTAAGGATCACTATGGAACCAACCCCTGAGAACCAGGGGATCCCGCCTTCCTATTGGCCAAGTCCAGGTCACATGTCCAAATTTAGAACTAGGGTTCATGTCAGCTCACCAAATCTCATGGATCAAGAATGGAGAGTGAGCACATAGACCCCCAAGGCAAATATTGGTTCTGTGACCGAAAGAAGGGGGAAAAATCCTGGACAACTAAAAACAAGAAATGTCTGTAACTGGCTCAAGTGGCACTTTGTTTATGCCATATATTTATAGTTCAATTCTGTGTGATGCTTCTCCTTCCCTATTAGATTAGGAATTCCTTGACAGAAGGGAACATATTTATTCGATGACGGCCAACTCTTCCCTTCTGCTTCTCTGCTTTGTGCAATGCCTAGCATTTAGTTTCACTTACTGAATGGTTTTGTATCTGTTTTTTGCTTTTTTTTTTTTTTTGAGACGGAATCTGGCTCTGTTGCCCAGACTAAAGGGCAGTGGCACGATCTCACTGCAACCTCTGCCTCCCAGCAATTCTCTTGCCTCAGCCTCCCAAGTAGCTGGTATTGCAGGTGGCTGTTAACATATCCAGCTACTTTTTTGTGTTTTTAGTAGAGACGGGGTTTTACCATGTTGGTCAGGCTGGTCTTGAACTCCTGGCCTCAAGTGATCCATCTGTCTCGGCTTCCCAAAGTGCTGGGATTACAGGCATGAGCCACTGCACCTGGCCCTGAATGGTTTTTTAATAAATAAATAATAGTTGATATTAGCAAGAATGGTTCAACTTATTACTGTGATGATAAATCACACTAAACACAAGTTATTACTGTGATGATAAAGGTAGATGATAAACGAGTCAGATAAGTCCTATCAAAAGGTTTACTTACTTTGACCAGGTGTGGTGGCTCACGCCTGTAATCCTAGCTGAGGATTACAGCTAGGGAGGCTGAGGCTGGTGGATCACTTGAGGTCCAGCAGTTTAAGACCAGCCTGGCCAACATGGTGAAATCCTGTCTCTACTAAAAATACAAAAGTTAGCCAAACCTGGGAGGCAGAGGTTGCAGTGAGCTGAGATCATGCCACTGCACTCCAGCCTGGGCGGGCAACAGAGTGAGACTCCATCTTAAAAAAAAAAAAATGCTTTCTTACCTTCAATCCTACTACTAAAATCCTTGGTTCTCTTTAAGGCAGACTACATAGATTAAATGTGATCTTGAAATTGTCTAACATTTATAAGTTATAGAATTTCTTTATAGGTTTGTACACAGTTAATATTCCCCAAACACAGGACAGAATTAAATATACCCATATTTACACATAGTGACCAAAAAAAAAAAATAGGGACAGGAAACACAACCATTAATATTAAAAAATAACTTTACATGTTATTTATTTATGGTTAAAAATACACAGTGGGCCAGGTGCAGTGGCTTATGCCTGTTATGCCAGAACTTTGGGAGGCCAAAGCAGAGGATGGCTTGAACCCAGGAATTCAAGACCTGCCTGGACAGCATGGTGAGATGCCATCTCTACAAAAAATTTAAAAATCAGCTAGGCATGATGGTGCATGCCTGTAGTCCCAGCTACTCAGGAGGCTGAGGCCAGAGGATCACTTGAGCCCAGGACTTTGAGGCTGCAGTGTGAAGTGAAAAGTTTATGGTAGTAAATGTCATACGTTAAAAATTCTTCTGCATTAAAAAAGAAGAAAGATCTCAAACCAACAACTCAGCTTTATACCTCAAGGAAATAGAAAAAGAAGAACAAACGAGCCGGGCGTGGTGGCTCACGCCTGTAATCTCAGCACTTTGGGAGGCCAAGGTGGGTGGATCACGAGGTTAAGAGATCGAGACCATCCTGGTCAACATGGTGAAACCCCGTCTCTACTAAAAATACAAAAAATTAGCTGGGCATGGTGGTGCGTGCCTGTAATCCCAGCTACTCAGGAGGCTGAGGGAGGAGAATTGCCTGAACCCAGGAGGCGGAAGTTGCGGTGAGCCGAGATCGCATCATTGCACGCCAGCCTGGGTAACAAAGAGCGAAACTCCGTCTCAAAAAAAAAATAGAAGAACAAACAAAACCCAAAGTTAGCAGAAGGAATGAAATAATAAAGATTAAAGCAGAAATAAATGAAACTAGTAATAGGGGAAAAAAAATGAAACTAAGTTGGTTTTTTGAAAAAAAATCAACAAAATTTATAAAACCTTAACCAAACTAGGAAAAAAGGAGAAAATATTCAAATACATAAATTCAGATATGAAAAGGTACATTGAAAGTAATACCACAGAAATAAAAAGGATTTTAAGACTACAATGAAGAATTATATTCCATAAACTCCATAACCTAGAAGAAACAGACACATTCCTAAAAATATACAACCTACGAAAACTAAATCATGAAGAATAAAGAATCTGAACAGACCAATAACGAATAGGGAGATTGAATCAGTAATAGAAAGTTTCCAGCAAAGAAAAGGCCAGGACCAAGTGCCTTCTCTGAAGAATTCTATCCAACACTTAGAGAATTCATACCAATCCTTCTGAAACACTTTTAAAAAATGAAAGAAGCAGGAACATCTTCAAACTCATTTTATGAGGGCAAAATTACACTGACACTAAAACCAGACAAAGATTCAAGGCTGGGTGCGGTGGTTCATGCCTGTAATCCCAGCACTTTGGGAGGCCCAGTGGGGAGGATCACAAGGGCAAGAGATCGAGACCATCCTGGTCAACATGGTGAAACCCCCGTCTCTATTAAAAATACAAAAACTAATTGCGCGTGGTGGTTCGCCCCTGTAATCCCAGCTACTCAGGAGGCTGAGGCAGGAGAATCGCTTGAACCAGGGAGGCAGAGGTTGCTGTGAGCCAAGATCACACCACTACACTTCAGCCTGGTGACAGAGTAAGACTCAGTCTCCAAAAAAAAAAAAAAATTCAAAGAACAAAAACCTACAAATGAATATTACTGATAAGTATTGATGTAAAAGTCTTTTTTTTTTTGAGACGGAGTCACTCTGTTGCCCATGCTGGAGTGCAATGGTACAATCTCGACTCACTGCAACCTCCACCTCCTGGGTTCAAGCAATTCTCCCTGCCTCAACCTCCCAAGTAGCTGGAATTATAGGCACCTGCCAACACACCCAGTTAATTTTTGTATTCTTTTAGTAGAGATGGGTTTTTGCCAAGTTGGCCAGGCTGGTCTTGAACTCCTGACCTCAGGTGATACTCCTGTCTCAGCCTCCCAAAGTGCTGGGATTACAAGCATGAGCCACCACGCCCAGCCTGATACAAAAGTCTTAACACCTAAATGTAAGGCCCGAAGACTTCTAGAAGCAAGTACAGAGGAAATGCTTCATGTCATTGGATTTGGCAATGACTTCTTGAACACACCACAAAAGCACAGATAACAAAAGCTAAATTAGAAAAATGAGATTAC